TTTTTTTTTTTTTTTTTTTTTTTTGGGGGGGGGGGGGTAATGATGAGAATCAGATGCAAAAATAACCTAGAAAGCTGATGAAATAAAATGTACAGAATAAACTATATGATAGAACGTTTTTCCATTATTGGTTGTCAGAAAAAAAAAACAGAGTAAAGGGAGAATTCGACAGCTTCCTAATCACTCCTAATGAGAAACTTTCCCTGCCCCCTCTCATGCTACAGTATTTAACCATATTTACATAATTTCTTTTCTAGCCCTACCAATGCATATCTAAGCAGGCCCCACCCATGTAACTGATTCACACGCTCAAACTCAACTCATAACATCTTTTTTTAAGAGACCATGTTTTGTAACCACGAATATAAAAGGGATTTCAGATTTCATAATTGTAAATAAATCACCTTACTCATGAAGATCATAAGGAACAAAGAACTCAATTTTTCTTAATGCTTGTCATAATAAAAAAGAGGAATCACACTTACGCTGTTTTGATGCTTTCTGCCGCTTCAGATGAATTGGGATCACCTTCCACAAGATATATCATCCTTTTAAGCCCACATCTCTAATGATATAAAGCAAGAAGCAATAATCAGTAAGAAGCTAGCCACAAAGATAAATAACTAAGCGAGGATCTACATCTTGCAGTATTCTGCCCATAATATTCATGCCAAATGATAATAATAACAAATGGACTGGCATTTAAGCTCACTTAGCCCGATATTTTCTACCGATTTTCAACCATGCATGGTCAATTTTCAGCATGAGCTGTACATGATACATTCACGTAGTCCCCAGAAAAATTGGACTAAATGAAACAGAACCTAATAGAAAATCCCTTGGTGGCAATACGAAGTAATCGTAGCAGTGCTGAGCAGCCATCTAAAAGCTATAGAAACGGGAACGAACATATTAATAACAAAACCCAGTTTTGTAATGGAAGTAGTGACAGATTCTACAAGCCTATTTCTCAACAAGTCCATAGCATATCAATATCGAAATTCCTCAATTGATTCACGAGAGGAGAGAAAAATACATTTCTTAGATTAACAGAATGCAGCTACCACCAGAGGGAAATAAGAAAAATATCAATTAGTTAAAAATTTACCAAAAGTTTTAATTTCTGGTCTCTATAGCGATTGTCCCTGATTGAGCACCGCAAATCATCAATATTTTTCCTCTCAACAATAAAATCAAGAACATATTCATTATCAAGATGTTTATGGCGAGCTATCCAGATTCCGTCACCAACAGGTAGCCTCCTAATCTGAAAAAAAATTGGGTGAGCCAATCATAACCAAGTAAAATATTAGTTATGGAACTAGGCGAACTGCTGACATGAATAAACAGATGTCACCATGTGCAAATGCTAAAACACACTAATAAGCTGTTTCTCATGGTGGTCAACATGTTCTATGTTGAATAGTGAATATTCATTGTTACATACATTACCGAGTATAATATCATTACAATTCAAAAAGCTGGTCAAAAGTGCTGAAAATAATATCGTCAGATGCCTGAATTGCTGACAATAATAAGTATCAAATTAAATCCATAACCTAATAACATAGCAATGCATTATGCAAAAGAAACTTTCACAGAAGAATAGAACAAAATTACCTCAATTTGGATCTTGAATTGGCTACAGATATTCTCAATCATTCTTCTAGACCGAGAACTAGAAAACCACGACATACATAGTTTAGTAGTGTAATCAAAATACAAGTAGAATAACAAAATGTCAAATTTCAACAAACAACTGCAAGTTTGCAAGCACGTGACATAAAAGGGAAGACAAGCTTTCAAGAATCCTTGATTAGTAATATTGTCATTCACATATATCACCGAAGTAATAATGCCCCTAAATAAAAATTACAAAATATATCCTTACGGCTTTTTAAGACGAGGCTTGTGCTAGGTGTGAAAAATAGGAAGGAATGGACCAAAAGTCCAAGAGAAAGACGAGCATTGTTTCATTTTTTTGAACAAGATACAAATTTTCATTAATTAACGGTGAGGAACAAAAATGTTCAAACTTTCCATTGATTAATAAACAAAACACGAGCACCGTTTGTTAAAGGAAAATTGAACTAAGGTGCAACAGCTCTAGTCTATTAAAAAAGTTCAAACCTTGAAATTCTAAAAATGTGTTTTATCCTATAAAATAAAACCCACAATCTAGACATGTTATATCATCAAAGTGACTATCCATAGCCTATGCAAGAGATTCCAAATTACTTGGGCTAACGTCAAATTCAGAATCGAAGTCATCACACCAAGAGGGAGAAAGATGAAAGGTAGGGTCTTTCATCAAGTTACCTCATGAATAAAAAAAAGTACCTCTTGGGGAGAAAACTTTATGGCTACTAAAAAGGGGATTAAAGGCTTTGATGAAGCTAATGTAGATAAGTTTTGACTACCCACTTGCTTTATAGAGGAGGTTTGAACAATTTTCTTTATAAAAATCAGGATTCATAGAATTATCATCAGTAGATGACTAAGAAGAAATGATAGATTCATCTTTTTGAGTATAGTATAAGGGAAGCAGCCGTATAACAATTTTTTACCTTGTTAATGGTCAATTTAAAATTTAGACATGTTAAATTATATATTAGAATTACTGACCTGTGGTTGGCAAACTGTTCTCGATCGTCCAATATCAAAACTACGCTATAAGCATCTTCAAATTTCTCACCAAAGCTCAAAGGTGGCATGCTCAAGATATTCATATTTTCTTTCACAACATCTTTACAGGATTCAGTGATGGACTGATTCTATAAATACAAAGTACAATAAGCTTCACTGCTTCATAATGTAATATTATACCCATTGCAGAAAGATGACGGATTACCAATTTTCTAATGAAGTGCTTTCTTTTGCATAAAGAGCCTCATCTTTTTTCTTCTTTTTTTTTTTTTTTTTTTTTTTTTTTTTTTTTTTTTTTTTTTTTTTTTTTTTTTTTTTTTTTTTTTTT